CTAACTTCCAAGTAGTTGGTTAACTAATTGAAAAACTACTATCCATCATGTCGACGAGATACTTGATCTTGCGAGCCTTTGAGATTCTACTTGGGTTGGTCACGTTTCTGATCACTTTGAACTTCTTTTCGACTCGTTTTTTTATATAAACAATCTTTTGATTGCATATCCTTGAGGGATGAAGTAAGGCATAGACTTTAACACTTTAAACCTAACCCACCAAAGAAAAGGAACATTGATCCCATCATTCGTTTGTTCCAATGGGTTGTTTCCTATATGTTTCAATTGAGTGCTTGCATGCGAGTATAGAACAAGTCAATTGATGGAGTTTTCACTTTACATCATCAGCACATACCAGACCAATCAGATTAGAGCGGACCCAATTTTAACTTTCCCCTTACTGGTTTAAATCACCCAGTTGCTGCTCTCCCCGCCATTGTCCTCCCCGAACAACATCGACGGCGGTGGCATTGGCACCATCGACGTGTTGCCCTGATCTTCATGGAGAGTGCCATAATTCGGGTTCGGCGGCCTTGTTGCTGAGGCAGAGATGTTCCTTGGGTGGGACCTGATTATCTCCACGCAACGCCCGGGGAAGGCTTTTCGGCGAATTGGCGCTTGAGGGAATGAGAGTGTATACAGTAACTCTCTTGCTCCCAACCTCTAGAGAAAGATGCCTTCTCCTATGTTAGCGATTCTTACCTGATTTGATAGTGCATCGATGGGGAGATTCTGCATGCACTAGCTGATGGCGTCGGTAAGACATATTAAGGATAAGTCTTTATCCTTGTAGTATTTAGTTTCCTTGTTCATGTATAGTTCTATTTCCTGATTGTATATGAAAACATGTACATCTATGGGTATAAATATCCCTTCTATACATCAATACAAACACACAGTTCATATTCCTTACATGGTATCAGGGCCTCTTGCCTTACAGCTTTGAACTCAAAACACTAATCCCTCATCACAAGCTTCAAAGTTCGGCGCCACATTAAGCGTCGCCTCTCGGACAGCTACCTCCCGGGACGATCATCATGTCCGACAATAGCTCAATCACCATCAAGTTGTCCACTCGTTCGTTCAGGCATTGCAACAGAGATGACTCTTTCTGACACTATTGTCCACGAAAATTAACTGGTCTGTCTTTGTCTCCATGGCCTCGACGATGATTACAACAAATTTTCGACTGGCACTAGGGATTGCAAGACCCCTCCAATATTTTTGAAGATCTTCTTGATCAGCTGCTCTCTTTTGAGGCTGGCATTAAAAGCCCATTGTGCTTCTCATCTGTCTCCTGCAACGGCGTACAATATTCACCATGATCGTGGCGGTGCTCGCAGATTCCGTAGAGGTTGACCTAGTCGTGGCTCAAACCCTCGTTGCGCTAACTCCCCTTCTTCATGGGATTCCCCTCACTCTATTAATGACAGAGAGACTCATCGTCCCTCCTGTGTCATGTGCCAGTACAGCGATACACTAAGACACACAACGAAGCAGTGCTATATCAGCTTCATCCACGGAAACGTCCTCAGAATCACACCACGCAAACCAACTCTTCTACTCGTGATGGGTCATGGCTCATGGACTCTGTGGCTACACATCATGTGACCAACGATCTCAACAACTTAGCCCTTTACTCCGATTACACAAGTCCTCACGAGGTTTACCTTAGTGATGGCTCAGGTTTATGCATCACCCACATCGGCTCATCATCCTTATCCTCCTATACACGCTCCCTTTCTCTTAATGATGTCTTGTGTGTTTCCACCATCAAGCAGCAGTTAATTTCTCTCGCTAAACTTTGTCGCACTAAACTGAATTCTTCTCTGATTTTTTTCTTGTGAAGGTCCTTCGCATGGGGTGCCACATTTGATATGAAGGAACAAGGGTGATACTTATAAATTTCCTGTAGGATGCTCGACGGTTTGGTTGGTGTTGGTGATGACTCGGAACTCTACTCAGTCCTGGCATCAACAACTTGGCCACCCCTACTCTAAGTCATTATCTCGTCTTCTTCGTGTTAACCCCTTGCTTCTGTCTAAGTCCTCTATTTTGTAACATCGTTTGTCCTGTCTATCCCACAAGAGTCATAAACTCCCTTTCGGAGACTCCAGTCTCACTTCCTCAGCGTCTAAATCGCCTCCACCATTCAAGTCTCCATTAACTGCTCCGCCCACTGCACGCACTCCTAAACCATCTCATCCTATGGTCACACGGAGTAAGAACAACATTGTCAAACCTAATCCTAAATATGTGCCGGTTGTGACAGCTTCGACGGAGACACCACCACTTGAGCCAACTTTTGTCAAAGAGGCGCTCCACCAAGATGCATGGAATCAAGCTTTTCATGCAGAATTCAATTCCCTTCGCTCCAACTGAACATGGGATCTTGTTCCCTGGTTGCCTCACTACAACGTCATTGGTAATCAGTGGCTCCACCGCATCCAGCTCCTGCCGGAGAGGAACATCAAGTGCTTCATGGATCGATTGGTTGCTAAAGGGTTTCATCAGAGCCTTGGAGTCGACTTTCATGAAACTTTCAGCCCAATTCTTAAACCTGTCATGGTTCGAACTGTCTTCACGACAGCCCTATCTCACAACTAGCTAATCTATCAGTTCTACGTCAACAATGCCTCAATACAGGAGCCTCTTCAAGAAGAGGTTTATTTTGTGCAACCTCCTGGGTTCTGTGACCCTTAATTCCCTCATCATGTATATCGCCTACATCAAGCCATCTATGGCTTGTGTCAAGCTTTCCACGCCTAGTATGACGCACTCAGCTCATTTCTCACTAACGTCTGGGTTCACCAAGACCCACTTGGAATCTTTCTTGTTTGTGTACCGTCGAGATGGTGTGATGGCTTATTTTTTGAGGTACGTGGATGATCTCCTCCTCACTGGTAACAATCTCGAGCTCTTGACTATCATTTTGTGCGTCAGCTAGTCCAAGCCCGCAAGCTTCTTGTGCGCTATCACCCCACTGCATTGCAACTTGCCGATGTTCTTACTAAGCCATTACCGGATACACGATATCTTTTGTTACAATCCAAGATTGGGCTCGCTGACGCCACCTCCATATTGCGGGGGTGTATTAAGGATAAATCTATATCCTTGTAGTATTTAGTTTCATTGTTCAGGTATAGTTTATTTTCCTTTTTATATGTGTAAACCTATATATTTATGGGTATAAATACCCCTTCTATACGTCAATACAAACACACAGTTCATATTCCTTATAAGATAGAGGAAGGAGAAGCAGGGTTTGGGAAGCAGCAGGATTGGAGATTGGGATTTCTATGTTCGGCGAATTAATTTCTCTCTATTGGATAATAGGTATTTGCATGCCTCGACTATTTTCTGCAGTGTTCTTGCCCATAACTGATAGCTTTAAGGCCACAATGGTGTGATATATGGCTGAAAAGAAAGAGAGGAAGAGATGGGAGAGAAGGTGTATGTGATTAGTAGAGGTAAGTTCTCTTAATTTTTAGTTAAGAAACTAAGGGAGAGTGACGTAGAAGAGAGATGGGTGAGGTAAAGGGATTTGAGTAGAGCAGAAAGTAAAAAAAAGTGTTTGGGGATAAAAAAAGAAATGAAGGATAGAAGAGATATGGGTGAGAGCCAAATCCAAAACGATCGAAATTAGTTCATGATAAAGCACCAGAACAGGTCGTAATATAGGCCCATAGCCCATATGACATCTCTGTCACGGGACAAGGCGACATCACTACCTAGTATATATATATAGTGGTGTCTTTGGTGCACACACTTTTTTGGGTGAATTCAGTGCACTCGCTTCATAACCGTCATTTTAAACATGCGATTTATGTTAAAATGATGTCAGTCATCACTTATAATGTGATGAACAATAGCGCACATGAATTTGCACAAAAACCATTAAAGATTTACTTTAATTTGAAGGATTTAGAGTTTAGAGATTTAGGATTAGGGTTAGGGTTTATAATTTGGGGTTTCAGGATAGAACTCAAAATTGGAGGTTTAGGGCTTAGGGTAATCTGCTAATTAATTGTTATCATATGTTATATCATCATATTACACTAATTCAAGGTTAGAGTTTAGAGATTTAGGGTTAGGGTTAGGGTTTACAATTTGGGTTTTAGGGCTAGAACTCAAAATTGGAAGTCTAGGGCTTAGGATAATCCGCTAATTAGTTGTTATCATATGTTATATAATCATATTACACTAATTCTACAAATTAAAATTCAAAATCCGACACCTTAAGACTAATTTTTGAGTTGGGTGCATTGAACACACTCATTTTTGTGAGTGCACTGAAGTAGCTAGTCACCATATATATATATATATATATGTGGTCGCTTCTACGGTACCCCGGTTGAAATCCAGGGTAACGCATACATTGAGTATGAAAACACTATCTTGACATCAAATTAGCAGAATTTTTGGGCTCGATACTATACCTAACCCTTAATGAGTGAACCATAGGTCCTAATTATCTAAATCGTTAACTATAAACCCTAAGATGGAGGATTCGTTTTATTTCCTATATTTGGATGAATCATAGCCGTCGATTATTGTTTCTAATTAAATTGATCTTGGGGTATAATATTTAGAGAACTAGGACCTATATTTTGATCTTTAAAGGTTAGAGTATAGTATCATGTCCAAAAGATCAACCAATTCAAGGTTTGAATAACGTTTTCATACTCAAGGTATGCGGTACCGCGAATTTCACCCGGGGTACCGTAGAACTCGCTAATGACTGGTATACTCCAGAAGTATACCATACTCCTTTGATATGATCGTTAGATCTCCTTTTTTGAGCTCCGACCAATCGCAACGGACAATTAATATTTTCTATTAAGTTGTACATCGGGTTTGAGTTTAGCGAATAAAGGCATGGGGTTTATCCATTAGAGGTTAGGGTATAATATCATACCCCAAACTCGGTTTAATTCTTGGTCTAGATAGTAATATCTCGTTGAAAATACCTGGAGTATAGTATACTACATGATTGCACAAGTTATAGCATATATTTATAGGAACCGGATACATAGGCTAGCTTTACACAAACGACAACAAACTGATTGACCACACTTCTTATTATTTTCCTTCCGGAAACTTACACAAAGTCCCTTCGGATACATTGAAGAAAAAGGGGAAAAAAATCGAAACTTAAATCAACACAACACAACTTATCCCGAAGAACAAGTTAAAGAGAAAAGTAGAACAAAACCAACCAAAGCTTCTTCCACCGATGGTGTCCATTTGATCACATGCTCACTTATTTATTAGTAATTACCATAAACCAAATTACTTACTAACATCTTCCAATTATTATACTAGTCCCATGATCGCCATAAGGATTAGGAGGATGTAATTACGCTCAACCCTTCGCTGCTACCAACATTCGTCATCACCCGACCAACAGCCTCTGAGAAAATAATTTATATGAGGACGACAGCCTCTGGAGGAGGAGGCATGTAGTCACGGAGATCCCACGACCCGTCATCCAGCTGGTACATTGCCTTATTCTTCACGTTCCACCATTTGGGAGGCACGTTGTGCTTGTTGTGGAGAAGATCCCCTCCTTTGTTCAGCAACGCGATGTCTCGCTCCACCATGAGCTTAAACGGCATGATTCCGTTCCACCCTGCAACTCCATGCATGTAGAGCTCCAAGTTGTGTGGGTTGTCCAGAGGTGATTTACAGTAAGGTGACACAATGACGATGAAAATCTCCTTCCCGACCTCGACGAACCCAAATATCTTGGGCGGGAGGGAGGGGACTGGGTCGAAGAAGTTCCTGACCCGGAGTAGTCGAAGGTCCGCCAGTGCATTGAACATGTTGTAGAAGCCCGAGTCGCCGACAAGTGGGCTAGCATAGGCAAAGGCCGTGACCAGGCAGCCGACGTTCGAATCCGTTGGTTTGTGGTAGTTGTTGGCCACGATGTCCGCCGCGTTTAGGGTTGCAAGGGAGGCGCCCAAGCTATGGCCCACCACGGTTATGCTCGTTTCCTCGTCGCGGTATTTGTCCACCAGCCTTTTCACCTCTGCCAGGACCTGTATGTACATGAACCAAATTAGGTTGGAGTGAGAGAGACCATAGGGTTTGAAACTTTTTAATTTTTTTGGGAGTAGCAAGTATTAGTTAGAATTATTAAGTCCCAAGTTCCAAAAAATTCGGAGTCACTGTTCATTAAGAAATTTTCGGGATTACTGTTCACGCAGGTGTTTTGACAGCCTACAACCGAACCTATTTAACAATTGGTGTTCCTAAGCAAACCTCTGGCGGTTAGCTAAGCAAGCAGTGTCCCTCTTTTAATCGGATGCCGCTACCCCTTTTGAACCCTTAGGCCGCCTACTCACGCAGCTTCCAAAACCCTTCGCCCAGCCGCTTTTCCTTCCTCCTACCCAATCCTTAGACGCTACCAATACATATCCTTACATCCTCCACACAGTGATTTAGATAGTCTCTGCGTTTTCTTTCCTTCTCTAAAAGCGAAAAAGAGAAACTTTGTTTCATTGGCAATGGGATCAGATGATCAGAGCAGAGTAATCGGAGGAAGTTGCTGATCTCATTTGATTGTCGAATGGGGATTGGATGTTGCCTATGACAACACCTGCTACGGGTATTGGATTTAGCATCTTGGGGAATCCTACTATGAAACTGTAGGAAACAGAGAGCTGCTTCTCTTTCAATGAATCTTAGATCAGATTCATATATGGAGACCGCTTAACTTTTTCCCCTATCATAATTAATTACTTTCTCATGGTAGGGTTGAATTTTTTTTTTTTTTTTTGGCATTGCAAGGAGGCACTCAAGGCCAAGAAAGAGAAGCAATTACAGGGGGTTAGAGGGAGGAGGAACTCGCCACAACCTGGCGCTCGAAGGTAATGCCCATGATATCATCGTGAAGTAAAGAACAGATGTCGGACGGTGGATCCACCAGCTCATGCATATCGCAGGGATAAATGTGACTGTGCTTCAGGTTTCTTTATGTATATTCCCCTTTATTATTCATTTATTTGTTAGTTTAGTTTTGAGTCATGGACAATGAAAACCAATGGTATTGACTTAAGTACCCTTACAATTCTTCATATACTAAATCATTAAACAATTCTTAGTGCATCTGAAAAACTTTTTCAAAAGTTAATGCATCCTCCCCTTAGTTAGCCTGCCATATCTAGGAGTTCAAGAGATTTGGGATGAAGACGAAGGAGCAGAAGAAGCATCCTCAGCTAATTCTTCTCGACTACGAAACTTATGTACGGTTAGGTGATGGTTTTCTTATGCTGTCCTGGGAGAACGTGTCTATCTCTGCTTACATAGAGACAGAGTACAATTTAGATGGAGTTACCATTATTGGTTCTTCATGATGTTAGCAAATGGCATCAGTTGGTTTACTTGCATGCATTTTGAGATGTTTTCTACCATGGCCAATATCATTGCAGCTTGGGAGTTGGGACTTCTGCCGCGTCAATTGTAGGTTACCCATTGATGGTATTGGAGGCCAGGTGGAGTTAACCTTGGTTTGATTCTGCAATTTGTTTGAACTGGCTCATGGTTCTGTAAGTAGCTTAGGAGTTGGGATCATTTGAGGTTTGCCACTAGAGCTATGCTTTCCTCGCTGGTTTTTTAACAATTTCCTTCATTAACAAATTGCAACCTGACTCTAACTTACCTCACTTTCCAACTTAGAATTCTATAGCTTTATTGTACTAGACATCTTTCCCTGTCCAATTGTACTGGCGTTTCCCTTTTAGAGGAAGTTTGTTTACTGTAGGCAACCAAATCAAGTTATGTGCATCTTCAAATTCAATTGGAGATCAATCTTCTACGCTATTTGCAAAAATCATTTTAAACATGTCTTAATTTTTCAATTATTTCATTTTCTTCTTCAAAATTGATCAATTTTACATTTCGTACTGTCTTTAAAAGAATCATACATTGATTGATTCAAGGTAGCTGTAGCTTGCTTCCAAGTCCAAGCGCTAGCGGTAGAAGCGAGTCGCTGGAAGCGAACTTCCCGGCCAGGAAGGAGCCAAAAAACTTGAGCGCCCCCACAATTTTTCTAAAGTAACAAGCGCGAAACGTCGAAACAACAAAAGGGTACTTGACTGCACAAAGCACAATCTTTAGAACGACTTAGCAGATCAACACACTCAAACAATCCATGATTCGGCTACACTAAGTTGGCCTTTTTCGTACCGAGTGGAATAACGTGAAAGAGAAATCAAAAAGAAATTAAGTTCAGTTCCTTCTATTACTCGATTAGTAAATTGATCATTAATTCAAACAACTTCTAAATTTTATACAAGATTAATGGTGAACGAAACAAGCAAATTAGACCTGAGATCAGTGATATAATTTTGAAATATATTAAACATAAGAGTATGATAAACTTGATTACTCAATGATTTGTCTGTTATTTTTTCATGTTGTATTGCGTTTAGTCGCATTGCAAACACAACACAATATAATATTGTGAAGCATGAACTATTCCAATAAAAATCATCATTTAAAACTTTGGTAAAGTATATATGAAAAGACTAATCATCGCTGCGAAGCGCGGATCAAGTAACTAGTAATATGTAACACTACGAGTGTCATAATGGTTTAACTAGATAAAAACACCCAAAAAAAACAAAAGGTTTCGTTAATTACCTGTTCCCTGGCACTGTTCTTGTTGTAGATAGAATCAGGGTTGTTGTGAGTATAGACACCAAAGAACCCCTCATGGACCTTGGGATTATGGGTAGTCCCATAAACTTGGCCGACCGGAATCAATGGGAAATCCGCATCTGCGAACCACTCCAGTTTGGTCTCAGTGCCCCTCCAGCAGACCAGGATGTCCCTCCTCCCCAAAACCGACTTCCCTTCCTCCGTGCTCACCGCCACGTACCCGATCCACGCAGACTGTCCGGCGAGGACCCAGTCGCCCAGCGGTATCTCCGAGTAGGCGTAGAAGAAGTTGGTGATCTGGTACTTGTACGGCTTCCCGTTCTGGAGGAAGACATGGGAGAAGAAATTTTCCGGGGGGTACCGGCTGAGCCCGTAGGCAGTGGACAGGGTTTCCCCGTTGAAGGCATCGTGGACGGATTGCAGCCGCTCCCCATAGTGGATGAGGTACCGCCGGAGGTCAGCGTCGAGTGGGTCCAACAGCCCATCCCAGTTGTTCTCACCGCTCAGCTTCTTCCAGTTGGTGGCGATGCTGCCCATTTTGCTCTTTTGACTCACTTAAGTGAAGCTTTTGCTAACTAGCTAGAGGATATTAGTGACTAGCGATTAATTTTTGCAGTTTTGGTGTGAGGAAACAATGGGGGATCTGACAGCTTTATATAGTTGAGCACACGAGCCAAACATGGTCCGGTTGTACTATCTTTTGCATGCATGGGAAACGTGCATGTCCTTTTTTTTCTTCAATAAGAGTGCATGTCCTTTTTAGGTGTAAGACCGTACTACTCTCACTCATTAGGGCAACACTCCTTAGAAAACAACAAAACTGATTTGTTATTTTAAGAGATAACTTCAAGACCATGAAATTAAAATACCTAGTTGCTTTGCTTCTTCTGTCTTCCATTCATATATACCGTCTGAACCTTAACATTGTTAATGGGTCACCAATTTAGAAGGATATCCACGGTTGCATAACCCAAAACTCCCATCCAACTCCACAAAGAGGAATTTCACAAAAAAAAAACAAATCACTACTTTAAATCTTAATTTTAGTGATAAACATAAGTGGATTAGATCGAGTTGAACGAATGGGCTGGATTACGGTTATGTTTGTTCACTCCATACTTCTCTAAATCGCTTCTTACTTCCAAACTTTTATTTCATCATAATCAAGTCTTTGACTGTTGTTGGTTTGTATTCACTATAGAATGTTGAGTACTCCAGATGATAGTATGATAAACTCGTTCTTTCTATGCGAAAATTTTCAAAATCTACTTAAAAACGAAGGAGATATCATATGGTATGGAGGTGGTAACCAATGGCATGGAAGAAATAATTTGAAAATAAATCTAATTTTGTAGATCACAATGAACTCGTTTCATGTGTGAAAAAAATATTAAAATTCAAATTAGAACGAACAAGATAAAAACGGATTAAAATACTAGACATCGGAAAATATAAATCTTATTATGCAACATTATGCACCGGAGCATTACTGACCTTATCCATAACTCGTATTACTTTAGCAATCAAGGATAGACATGCTCATAGTCATAGACTCAGCTGATTCGTCAGTAGAAAAATAAATAAAAATATAAAATTGTTTGTGGGCTCACCGTTTTGTTTGAAACATTGATAATTATCAACCATATTTGTTGTAGTGGTTGTAGCATTTACCATAAGTTTAATACGCACCAATTGAGGACTACATAGTACATAGTGTGTCCCGTTGAATCAGTTAAACTTGTCTTTTAGTGAGTAATACATTATGCTTTGAATACTGTCCTTCAATCTTCAGAAGCATTGATTAAAAAACGAAGAAAAAAATCCCCACACATAAACTTTGAAGAAGAATTAATTTGAGTATGATATTCTTAACATAACGTATGGAAACAAATTAATCAACAAATTCTTTCATTTTAAAATGAATTATTGTGCATAATTTATCATGAAATGAGTTCTTATTTTGGAATGTCATACTTAATTGATTAAAGATAAATTGCATCAATTTTTCTAATCATGTTTGGTTTACGCTCAAAATTGAACTGAACCTAGGAGTGAAAGTTCGGTTATTTCGGTTATAACTGATAACTGACCGGTTGGTTATTGATTAATCGAGTAGTCAGCTGACCTTACCGCCGACCGACCGATTGATTCCCTCGGTCAACCGGAAATCGACTGGTCCATTAACGATTAGTTGCTCAGTTCACCGAGCTAACCGCAACAACACAGCCGGTTTGGTACTAACCGAGTAATCGAACCAGTAACCGAACCGGACAGCCCCTCTACACGAACAAGATCGCTAAAATTGCGTAAAATTAAACGTTCAACCCTACATTTCTACATCTAAATCACTCCCCAACTCGAGTTTCAATCACTTTTGCATAGAAAATAGATTTAAATCACCAAATTAATGTCTCAAATACTAGAACGTAAAGTCATAAACTTCATAAAGTCACAAATTACAATAGATCCAATCCAAATAGCATCAACAAGTCACCACCAAATCATCACTTATCAACAGAAGAAGAGCCAACATCTACATAACCCTTTTCTTTCAATTGCGGCAAGAGGTCATGACCACTATCGTCATATCCATCTTTCTCATACTCTTCCTCCGACACATTTTCTTCACCCTCCTGCTCATTCCCATATGGAATGTTCAGACTTGCATCTGCATTGGCAACATTGTCAGTAATACTTGCACTTTCCATTCTAGACTGGAAAGTGGAATTAACTGAGTAAGAAAAAAGAAAACAAAGAGTTAGAATATTCATACATCGAATTAGGTGGAAAGAAATAGTATATGTTTACTTGAACAAACAATAATTAAGAGATTTTTAGAAATTACCGCTTTCGAAATCCATGATCTCTTCATCATCTTCCCTCTCGTCATTCTCTCCAACCCCGGTAGTTTGTTACTTTATCCAATCATATGTACAAATCAATGCCTCCAATATGATATCACTCAAAGAGGACCTGAATGGACTGAGAATCCGACCGCCACAGTTGCAGGTTCCCTAAGAAGAGATGGGAACATCTATGATATCCTTAGCCATCTCAGCAAGAATGAGATATGTTCCAGAGTGTCGAGACCACCAACTCAAGATGTCAAATTTGGCAACATCACTCTTCTCATTGATGCCATCAGTTTGACATCTCAAATAGATGTCAAGCTCAGCAGAGCTGCTCCTTTAACCTGCAAAAGTGCTCCCCTTTTCCTCTTTCTCAACCTTTCCTCAAGCTGCTTAATCCTATCACCACTAGCCGTGCTCTCACCAGTGGTAGGCTCAGATGCAGAGGAGGGTGCTTTTGATTCATACTTCCCTTTGTAAACCTCAAACAGCTGTCGCATTTCTTGCCTAATACAATCAACCATTTCTCTTCCTTCACGTTCCCATACATTATTGGCAAAACCTCAGAGACCATATCAAGTTTACTTCTTGGATCAAGCACACATGCTATATAAATTAAGTGGTTCACCTTCATGTTCTTCACATTCACAACACATGACTCAAACCAATACTTTTGTATCTTTTCCTCAACCTTCTCAGCCATCATTTGGATCTCTTCATGTGGATCATTCTTCAATTGTTCAATGATGTCATATACCGGAACAAGCTTCTTGAAGAAGATATGGGTAGTCACATATTTAGTTCATGTACAATGAGAAGATAACACAGAAGATTAGAATAAAACAAAGAAAAATGGTTAAATGGTTAAAAATTTTAATAAAACAATGGAATTCAGAAATTTCACTTACCAGATACTAGAAGGGTCAAGTCATTAAAGACTTTCAGATAGTCTTTTATTTTCCTAATCATCTGCCAATCTTGATTAGTTGGAAGCCCACCTCTTGAGTCAACATAATCTCTAAGGGAATGATCGTGTGGACTTGAATACAAAGTTGTAAACATTGTATCAAACCTTTCTGCTGACTCTAACATGGTATAGGTGGAGTTCCACTTGGTCGATACATCCAAAGACACCAGCCATCAGACACCAGATCAAGTTTACTTCTTGGATCAAGCACACATGCTATATAAATTAAGTGGCTCATCTTCATGTTCTTCTCATTCACAACACATGACTCAAACCAATACATTTGTACCTTTTCCTCAACCTTCTCAGCCATCATTTGGATCTCTTCATGCGAATAATTCTTCAATTGCTCAATGATGTCTATACCGGAACAAGCTTCTTGAAGAAGATATGGGTAGTCACATATTTAGTTCTTGTACAATGAGAAGATAACACAGAAGATTAGAATAAAACAAATAAAAATGGTCAAATGGTTAAAATTTTTAATAAAACAATGAAATTCAGAAATTTTACTTACCAGAGACTAGAAGGGTCAAGTCATTGAAGACTTTCAGATAGTCTTTCATTTTCCAAATCATCTGCCAATCTTGATTAGTTGAAAGCCCACCTCTTGAGTCAACATAATCTCTAAGGGAATGATCGTGTGGACTTGAATACAAATTTGTAAACATTATATCAAACCTTTATGCTATCTTTAACATGGTATAGGTGGAGTTCCACTTGGTCAGAACATCCAAAGACACCAGTCCTCAGACACCATATCAAGTTTACTTATTGGATCAAGCACACATGCTATATAAATTAAGTTGTCCACTCGTTCGTTCAGGCATTGCAACAGAGATGACTCTTGCTGACACTATTGTCCACGAAGATGAACTGGTCTGTCTTTGTCTCCATGGCCTCGACGATGATTACAACAAATTTTTGGCTGACATTAGGGATTGCAAGACCCCTCCAATCTTTTTAAAGATCTTCTTGATCAGCTGCTCTCCTTTGAGGCTAGCATCAAAGCCCATCGTGCTTCTCATCTATCTCCTGCAACAGCGTACAACACTTAGCATGATCGTTGTGGTGCTCGCAGACTCCGCAGAGGTCGACCTTGTCGTGGCTCAAACCCTCGCTGCACTAACTCGGGATTTTTCTAATAATAGCACCTTTAAAAAAAAATTACAAAAATAGCACCCATGTAAAAAAAATTCCACTAATAGCACCTTATTTTATGGAACGCACCCCTAAGATGCGTTTTAAATGTAAAACGCACCTTACAGATGCGATCTACACGTAAAACGCATCAGAGGGGTGCAATCCACAATATAAAACGCACCAGACTGATGCGATTTGGGGAGGACGCGTTGCGATCCACCAGATCGTCCGATTGACAGCCGATCCAACGGCTAAGCGCACGCCAGCGGAGCGATCCGCGCCTTGGATCCCAGATCGCACGCGGGTAATGCGATCCGCGCCGATGTCAGCAAAGCGCATTGGGAGAATGCGATCCGCGCGGGGGAAGCGGAAAACGCATTGGGAGAATGCGATCCGCGCGGGGCAAAATTACCGCCTCGCCCCTGGAGCCTGCGATCTGAAAAACTATAAATAGCCCCCCTCCCCCTCTCATTTCTTCACACCTTCAACCCATTCTTCCTTCTCTCTCTACGTTTTATCTCTCTAAACCCTCCCCCTCCCAAAAGCCTAGGAAATAGTGGTCTATTGGTTGCGGCAAAGTCCGTTCTGCCATTAGAAAACATTTCTTAGGTTTTTTCCTCAAAACCCGCCGAGCCGAGCCGAAGCTATGTCCGAATTGCGCCGAAAAAA